TGGCGCGAGGCACCGCCGAGGCGAGAGGGATCGGGGATACTCCATGAGCCGTGGGGGATCCGGGATCCCTTCGGAGCCGAGAGGGATTGGAGATCCCCTCATAGCTATGAGGGATCAGGGGTACTCTGTGAGCCATGAAGGATCGTGGATCCCCTCAGAGCCATGAGGGATAAGTTTCCCTCAAGGCTGTGACAGCACCAGATTCTCAGAGCCATGAGGGACCAGGGTCCCATCAGAGCTGTGAGGACCACAGGGTCCCCTTGGAGCCATGGGGGAACAGGATACTCTCAGAGCCATGGGGGTGCAGCATGCCCTCAGAGCTGGGGGTGCTCAGGGTTCCCTCAAAGCCGTGAGGGGTCAGAGCCATATGGACTCGAGATCCAATCAGAGCCATGAACATGCAGGGTCCCCTCAAGAGCCATGAAGGACTGAGGTGCCCTCATAGCTGTAAGGGATCGGCCCCAGGCCCATCCCACAAAGGGACAGAACAAGGTTTAAGAACTGGGGAACAGTGTTGGTGTTATCTATGGTGAAATGGTTCTGGTCCACCTGGCGAGGGACGGACCTGCGGGGAGAGCCCGACTGCCTGAAGGTGGCGGTGCTTCTCTGTACTTTGGTGTATTCTTGCCTTGCACTTAATCATTAAGCAAGGAGTTGGATGCAGGAGAGTTCGTGTACCTCTCTGAAACACATTTGTATTCCACAGGATGCAAAGGATTCCTGCTTTTACATAGCAAAACCACACAGAGAGGCTTTTATAAACAAAACCCTGAAACCATAAAGCAATAAAAAACCATGGAGCTGCTCTAAGAGCAGCAAGTACTTGCAAAATGAACAAACAAAAGTTTGAGCAAAATAGTTCATATTTGCCAGAACTTGAGAATCTGCTAAGATGTGTCTGCCCTGGTCAGCTTATTCCCTCCCCCCGCCCCTTCTGTTTTTCTGTCATGACTTCTTCTTTTGTGAAGAATATCCCAACCTAGGTATCTGGCTTTGCAGTGAAGGCTGCTGCCCTACACCAGCCCAAGCTACAGCAGCCCATGAAACAGAAGGTCAGGAAAAACCTGCATGCTGAGACGTGCTCCCCATGGAAGACAGAGACTCCACAATGCATCTTGGGGTGGGTGTAGGAGACCACATGCTCCCAAAACCCTCCCTCTCTCCCCATCACCACACCTTTTCTGTCCTTCCCCTCTAGCTTCTGCTCTTTCCTGTAAGTGTTACCCTACCTGCATACCAGGGAGGATTTATCTTTTTCCTCTTGGTCTTGGAAAAGCAGCACAGCTCTATGGCACTTGACATTTCTTCTTAGATTCAGGGTTAGAGGGTGGTTTTGGGGTTTTTTTTTCCAATTTAAGCAGCATGAATCTCAAAATAGCTCTGAGGTTTGTTATAAATACACATATTTGTCTCTGAAATACAGGGGAGCTGGGCTGGAATAGGGAAACCACGACTCACCTTGCAAAATGCTGCTTCATCTGCATTATCAAAGGCAAATCAAGAAAGTGATGAAACACAAAGCACATCAAGTGCTTCTGATGCTCAGGCAGCAGTTAACCTGTGAAACCTCCCAGTCAAAACTAAGAGAGTGCCATCGACGGATCAGGGATTCTCTTAGAGACATTAACAATCAAGGATACGCAGAGCCATGGGAGCTCAGGGTCCCCTCCAGCTCACACAGCCATCCAAACATCAATTCTTTTATAGTTTCACCTATGGCATCTCTCAGATGTGAACACGAAAACATCAGATGTCAGCAGCTTCCTTTTTTTAACATTTAAACCTAAAATATCTAATAATAATGAAGTGATAGGTCAGCACTAGAACATACACAGCCATAGTGCAACAGGGAAGGGAGACGGCACCGTGGTAGGACTTGGGTACTTCTTTTTATTGCCCTTTTGTAAAGCACAGAAACAGCCCAGAAAAGGCACCTGTAGCTGTTTGTGTGTAGAATAATCTAGAAGTGCTACTGAAGTGATCCTTACCAGGATTCAGGATGTTCTGGTCACCGGGGAAGTGGTGACAAGCCCCCCTCTGCTGCTTTACATGGCAACATCTTTGTGTCTTTATCCCAGAACCCATCCTGGTCTTCAACTGATAACAACTGCAATGCTGCAGTTACTGAAAACTTTTTGCTGGCAGCAGGATCAATGTGATCTACCTGCAGGGTGAGAATTGTACAGTGAGCTTATTTAGGTCCTACTTTTAGCTACCCCTACCATTCAGGCCCTGTTTGGATACACACATGGAAAGTAATTCTCCTGCTCAGGTTCCACTGCAATATTAAAAAAAAAAAAAAAAAAAAAAAGAAAGAACAACAAAACCTCCTCCATTCTTTTTTTCTGATTCAAGGGAGACTGTTGTCTCTCTTACTCTTATCAGTAAGGTACGATACTATGAACTGCCATTTACCAGCAGGTAAAATAGAAAAAACCCCAACAAACAAAAAAAATAACCTCCACAAATAAAAAAAGCAGCATTTCAAACTTCACAGCTTTCATCTGCTCAAGTTTATTGTTATTAAAAATCAAGTATCTACTGCTACAAATTTAACTGTCATTTTACAAACAGATAAAAACAAGTTCCCTGCCTTGATGGCTCACAGTCTAAGTAACAGAAGTGTAAAACATGAAGCAGCAATTTAAATGGAGTCAGAAAAACTGGAGAACCAATTAGTTCACCTACTTATTGGCCAAGACCCAAACTGCTTGTCTGGGTATCAGATGCCCCGTACTGCCAACTGCCAAGAGACTCTCCTTCAGCACATCAAACAGCAGAGAAAATCCAGTTCATGTTCACTGCCTTATGGTAGCAAGTAGCTACACTGGGAAGTGGCAAATACAAACCCCTCTGTCCTCACAGATTTCTTATTTGGAGAAAAATATATGAATATGCACAAAGAGGGGCTCACCACAAACAGACATACTTAGACATGTCAGGAGATGAGAAATCAAAGCCCTGAGCAGCACTAGGGATGAGAAAAGGTGCAGACAGTTGGTCACCAGGCAAACACCCGCAGAGGCTGAAGACACCTTGGCAGGCACAGCTCTGTGCCAGCTCCAACATTGTTCAGAGAGGTTCACCCTGATCTGCTTTGGGCATGAATCAAATCAGCTTGAACAGTCCAGAGCTCTGAGCTGGCCAAGCCAAAGTGGGCACAGTTCTCCTGTCTCACACTCTGCTGGCAGGGCAGGCAACAATAAACCTGGAAAAAGATCTTGCTCCTCTTGGCCAAAGGAGTTTCCAGACTAAAACACCTGCCACAGCAGTCAGTTGGAGCTGGAGGAACACCTCTGTCTGAGGGAATGAGCCAGCCACCAGCACCCTCCCCTTGGCAGACACTTTGGGACCAGGAGCGACAGAAGCTTTCATTCATGGTGAAGAAAACGAGCAGCAGGTTTAAAGCAGGTCAACCAGCAACGCCACCCCTGAAGTGGCACTACATATTCAGGCAATTTGCTAAACACATAACATGCTGGGAGTTTTCCTTAACAATCTGGAGCAAGGTCCCCTCAGCTACTGCAGTGCAAACCCAGCACCTCCAGTGGTGTGCACCCCAGTGCACATGAGAACTCCAAGCACAAGTGACCCGGTTATCATAATTTGCAGCAAAATAAACCTGTTCTCAAGTTCTAAAGACTGAGCTGAACCTGTTTTTTCCAGCTAGCTTCCTGAGCAGAAGCAGCTGTAAAAACATCATTCAGCCTGTGCCAAGGCACGGAGAGAGCTGGGAACAGACCCGTTGCCCCTCCTTGGCAAAGGCAGCACCCGTGCAAGCCATTGGTGAGGTCTCACCCTGCACACATGTGCAGTCACCAGGAGTTTTTTGTTGCAAACATTGAACTCAAACTCATCCACAAAACTGAGAAGAGCAGAACTTTGTTAAGGAGAGCAGCCAGGACAACTCAGGGCGAAGAACTTCAAAACACTCAACTTTGCTGGAACCAGTTCAAACAACTGACTCAAACTCAGAGAGGCCCAAACCACTTTTATTCTTGAGTTATGGGCAGATTATGAGGTACCGTGGCATACCATCACCACCACGAAGCAAAGGGCAGTGGTGCCACAGCAGATCCTAATTCTACTTTGCTTGGATCTTTGGGAGAAATTGTCAGAGAGCCTTTAACACTGAGCGGCAGAGACCCTCTCCTCCAGGAGCTGCAGGGCTGTGTGAGCCTGCACAGCCTAGAACCAGTGCAGCGGTGCCTATCTCGTGCCAGGCACAGAGACCCTCTTGTGCAGGTGGACCTTCTCATGCTGGTGGAGGTGCTGCTTCTGGGTGAAGCGCTTTGGGCACTCGTCGCATGCGTATGGCCTCTCACCTGTGTGGATCCTCCGATGCCGGTCCAGACTGCAGGAGCGGTTGAAGATCTTCCCACAGTACGAGCACGAAGGGACTCTTCTGCTCCGGCCCGAGTGCATACGCTGGTGGATGCCCAGAGTTTTCTTCTGGGAGAACCACCTATCACACCTATCACACTTGTAAGGCCTCCCTCGTGGGGGGGCACTTGGAGTTGGCTGAGAGCTAGCGCTGGTGTTGATGCTTTCCAGGCACCTGGGACTGCTGGACACCTTGTCCATGGTTGGGATGCTGGTGCAAGCTTTGGCATTCCGGTTCTGCTTGAACCTCTCCGTGACCACGTGGGTCCTGTCTTCTTCCATGTGGGTCTGCTGGCACAGGAAGCCCTCCTTGCCTCCAGAATGCTCACTGCTGTCCTCTGTGCTGTGGCTCTCCTGGTGAGTCATCAGCATCTTCTTCAGACAGAAGCCCTTCCCACATGCAGAACATGAGTGAGGTCTCTTGCTGGGACAGTTTTGCCCATGAAAGTTGACAGTGTTGCTTTCATTGAGACCCTCTTCCTCTGGGGTGGATGGCACCAGGCTGCTCATGCTCTGGTTTTCCTGCTTTACAGGAGAGCTGTACTGACTACCAAAGGGCAGCACCTTGCTGGGACCCTGGGAAAGCAGCTCCTCTGGCTCCCTGGTTAAAGTCACAGGGCGCTCGGAGCTTTGGGAGCATTGCTCCAAGTGCAGCTGCTCTAGTTCGAATGTCATCGCCTCATCTGCTGGAACCAATAACAACAACAAAGGGGACATTCACTGGTGTGAGACACTAGAGGCTTCTGAAATCTCCCTCACTCCTTCCCCCAACACCCAGGAAGCAAACAGGCCTGTCTCACACAGGGAACGTGAAGGCAGCTGTGCTCATCCAACAGCAGCCAGGTGAAAGACTGATAGAGAATACAAGTGAAAAACATAGGAACGCTCCCCGTTCAGCTGGCTGAGCTGCATGAGAAGCCTCAGCCATGAGGGAGGGAGCAGAGGGAAGCGCTGTCTTCCAGAATAGCAGAGTTCAGCAGCTTCCAAAATCACCTCCAGCTGCCTTCCTCTCCTCAGCACCAAGAACTCATGGATATGGGATAGCCCTTTGCTTCCCTCATCAGCACATCTGCCTCTGTCCCCACAGCAGTGACCCAGTATTTCTCTCTTCAAAAGTACCACTCTTCTGAGATCCACCTTCCCTCCACACCCAGGACATGGTGACTCACCTGTACATCCCACTTCTTGAAAGGGGGCACACAAACACTGGTTTTGACTTGAGGCATGCCTGCTACTGTATGTAATGAGGAGGCCTCCTCTGCAGACCTCACTGAAGCAGTACAAATACATTTTCTCTGAGGGTTCATTGCTTTTCTTCCCCAGACTAGGTGCATGGGGTTTTCTATTCATGCTAAACATGTCTCTAACTTTCTCCTGACTCTCATTCTTACCTGAACGTTTCATCTGAGTTGACCAGGATATGACTATAACCCATTGGTGCAAAACCAACCAAAGCTGAAGGACAGGAACTGCCAACACACAGCCATTTTGCATGCTGCTGACAATGCGAGGTCAAAAATCTAAGCAGGGCTCAGACTCCCGCCTGGAGAGCATTACTCCCCAGTTCACTAGTGCTATGCAGTGCCTGACAGCAGGGAGGTGACAGCATGACACAAGGGTCATGAGAAAAAGCATCTACGAGTTAGTCACAGCAGGGCAAATACCATCAAAAACTGAGCAAGTCCCACTGACACTTCCGATATGGCACAAGGAAATTAAACAGAGACCAGGACTGAGGGTGAGGAAGTGACCGGTGAGCTGGGGCTGGTCTTTTAATCAAGTAAATATTAAGTCGTTATTATTTGGAATAACAGACATCCCAGCTTGCCAGTGACTTCCTCCAGGTAGCCATCGAAGCACTGCTCTGGAGCACAGCTCCCTCCTCTGAGGATGCAGCCACCAAGCAGAAGAAATTCCAGAAGAGCCACAGATGTGTGCTCTGGAGGACAGGACCCAGAGGAGAGCATGGAGTGTTCTGGGGTGGGTGCTGAGAAGCTCGGGGGCTGCAGGGAAGAGCTGAGCTCTGCATCAAACACAGCCTTACCAAACACTGAGGGCAGCCTTCCTGCAGCAGGACGGGAGCTGGAGGTAATGTTCCATCCAGGAATTTGCCCAAACCCCTTCCAAGCTGGCTTTGCTTCCAGTCTTGGCTGCGCCCTCTGGCAGCACGTCCTACAGCTTGCACACATACCATAACAGCAGTTTGCTCTGCAAGCACCTGCTCCCTGGATCTCTGACAGTAAGGAAGAGCAAAGGTTCATTCCTTTGGCTCCTGCAGTGCACTGCTCACCCAGGCACCGACCCCCATTGTATCCCACTCCCTGCCACACCTTCCAGGGGCTGATGGTACCCACTGCATTCCATCTCTCCTCATATGGAAGCTCTCTGCCTTGCTTCTCTGCTCTGGACAGCATCCCTGACTACTGCATTCATTTCAAGAGAGAACGAGCAGAACTTCGGTCAGTTCCCAAGCACTTTGGCATCACACTATCTTTGGAGAAGACCTTGAGAATTGTTCTCAGGTTCATTCCTAATGTCTCCCTACATTCCATCTGGAGAAGGCTCGAGGGGGACCTTATCGCTCTCTGCGACTGAGGAGGTTAAAAGGAGGTTGGAGAGAGGATGTGGCTGGTCTCTTCTCCCAAGTAACAAGTGATAGCACAAGAGGAAATGGCCTCAAGCTGCTCTAGGGGAGGTTTAAATTGGATATTAGGAAACATCTCTTCACCAAAAGGGTGATCAGGCATTAGAACAGGCTGCCTAGGGAGTGGTAGAACCACCATCCCTGGAAGCGTTCAAAAACTGTGTAGATGAGGCCCCCAGTGACATGGTTTAGTGGTGGAGTTAGCAGTCCTGGGGTAACAGTTGGACATGATGGTCTTCAAGGTCCTTTCCAACCCAGTTGATCCTAGGATTATTTCAGGGATGCCCGTCTCCTCACATCCAGCACCTTGTCTACCCAGCACTTTAATCTTCCTACCAGTAAAACTGCCTGTGCCCTTTCTGCCCACATTCCTAATCTCAGCGTAGCTTTTGATCCTTTCCCCACTGCCCCGCCAGCCTCTCCTCAGTCCCCGTGTCTCAGCATACGCTATCCCACAGCAGGACTCCCAGCATCTCCAGCTACATGGCACGCTGTGGGATTGCTTGGAACTCACCTGCACTGGGCTCAGTAAACTCTACATCCTTCATGGTTCCTTGCTCCTCCATACACAGCTCTTCCTCCTGCTTCACAATGCCTGCAAAGCTCGGCTCTGGAATGCCATAGTCTGCTATGGTAAAGAGGAAACTTCTTCAGTGGTTATTGCAGAACCGCTTGGCTCTTCCCTCACTGTGCCCCAGGGCTTTGCTCCTGGCTACCCTGCTTTCATGTAAAACCTCCCACTCCAGCATCTCCCATCCCTATTTCTGGAAGCTTTTTCTCCAGAGGAAAGTGGCAGAGAAGTGCTTCCCCCTCACCCCCTGTTTCAGAGGAATGTCCTCCCTGTCCCAGAGTCCAAGCTTGCCCTTACAGAGCAACACTCACCAGGTTGCTCAGCCAGCACTGTTCTTCCCTCCAGGCGTTCCTGCGCTCCTTCACTGCTGTCATGGCTGCTCACATCAAGTTTAAACAGCAGACCCTCTGCTAACGAGAAAGATCAAAGCCATTATTCAAACTCCCTGCACATGGCAGGGGGTTGGAACTAGATGATCTTTGAGGTCCCTTCCAACCCAAACCATTCTGTGATTCTATGATTATGGTTTTTCCTAACACTGTTACTACCCCTGAACCCATTCCTTCTGAGTTCCAAGAAGCTCCCTCTGCAGCAAATTGGGACTATGACCTTGCGATATCCTCTAGAGACACCGCCATGGAAACATTACACCTGAGACAAACGCTGTAATTTATCTCTTGCCTGCACTTGGGTCTGCTGGAACATCTTTTGAAGCTGCCTCATCCCCATTGCAGGACACTTCCCCTCTCTGAAGCTGGGACAGGAGGTCATGTTTGGAGATTGCGTAGTCTGTTGAGGAAAAGAGAGATTAACGGTGTCGAGGAGGAATACACTCAGGTGCGGTCCCAGAACTGGATTCACCAGCCACAACACACCACATGGCAGCATGAGAATGCTCTGCACTGCCCACCTGGAGTCAGAGGCTTCTGGAGCAGGCTGGGACGACTGAGGTGACCACAGCCAAATGCTCACGCTGAGAGACGGTGGGACTGGATGTGACATACGCTGCCCACCAAAACAGGCACTGACCGACTTCTCCATGTTTTTACAAACCCGCTTCCCAGGTCTGGGAAATAATCCGAAGAACGGAGCCAGTTGGAGGCACCAGGAACCAAAACAGTGGCACTTACCCAGGCAGATCTGAGGCTCATTCTTCCCCCTCAGCTTGTTTACGTGCAGCTCCCTCTGCCGTTCCTCCAGGTTTGCCCACTCTTGAGCAGAAAAGCACATGGTATCACTTTGGAACACCACCTCCGGGGCCTAAAGTCACAAAGGGAATGCATTCACCACCAGGCCTGGAGGAATCCTCCAGAGGAATTCTCTAGGAGAATCCTATGCCACCACCAGGCATCAAGGAAGGAGAAAAAAAATCCCTGCCCCGGGGCACCTCAGAGAGAACAATGATCACTTAAAGGACTGTGAATTTCAAGGTATTCGACCGGCAAATTTCACAGCAGGCTTCCCAGCATGTTCAAAAACCAGCTAGATGAGGCCCTTAGTGACATGGTTTAGTGGTGGTCTTGGCAGTCCTGGGGTAACAGTTGGAAGGTCTTTTCCAACTTAAAGGATTCTGTGATTCTTTGATTCAACCAGCAAATCCCACAACATTCAAACTCTGAATCCCACAATATCCACATCTCCCCCTTGCATGGAGCCCGAGCCCATCCCGCAGGCACCTTATGGACCTCAGTAGGGGGGGAAGAACCTACTATTTACTTTAAAAACGTGGCAGCACACTCTTTGGTGGCATAATACAGCAGAATCTGAACACATCTACAAGCAAACACTGCCTCAGGCCTTGGGGGATGGTGGCGGGCAGAGGTAAAGTGTGATGGAGCTCAGTGAAGTCCCACGTGTCCCCCCCAGCACCCTTCACTCATACCTTGGTGACCTTGGCACCAGGGGGCAGCTGCAGGATCCAGAAGTTCCCGCTCTTGAGGAGGTTCTCTATGCTCTCCACGCGCCGCTGGAGCTGCCCGTACTCCTGGATGAGCGTGCCCAGCACCGCGCATTTGCCCTCCAGCTGGTTCCCAAAATCCACCACCATTTTCTCGCGTTCCAAGTGGTTCTTCTCAGTGGCCGCCGCCTGGTGCTCC